AAGTCAACATTGTATGATAGAAAATCTTCCAAATAAACTACTCTCCAGCGTTCATGATTGTGTTGAAACCTGAACTGAAATTGAAAAAGCTATTGAAAAGGTTGTCAGTTTTATGGATTGAAAGCCAGCATTCATCTATGACAATTGCAATAATGCATGCAAAGTTAGTCATTCATTTAAAAAAATTTCAAGAACAAAAGCAAAATTAAAAGGAAAAGTTAAGAATGATATTAGAAGAGAAAGAATCATCATTAAACAGCAATGAAAAATTACATTGTTGTTTTGCATACATTGTATACTTAATGACTTTTCAATGACATTACATAATTTTTTCTTTTACCTTAAAATCACTTTCATTATATTTCACTCTCCATTAGCTTATTTTGTTTGCTATAAACATTGAAAATACGTTAAACGTGATTTCAGTTATATATATATATATATATATATATATATATACATACACTGCATGCCAAATTATTATCAAGATAACCTTTTTATAATATTTCAAAAACTGTCCAATCAATTCACACAATGTTGGCAACACTGACCTGTGCAATTACTGAAATTTTTGACCTGATCTGCACAATGTAAACAAACTGACGCCATATTTGTTATCAGTACGGTGATTTGAGCGTGCCAAATTATTAGAAAGGTTTAGTAATAATCCCAGAATTGAGCACACAAAACGTTTGTTAATGTTGCACGTGAATGTTTATGATCAAAAGAAGCTAATAAGATAATCAAACAAATAACAGATACAAACAAAGGCACAGTTTTAAACAAATTAATAGGGAATGTGCTTTCCCTGTTTTGAAATTACTTGAAGAAGTCGACGATCCATAGAATTTGTTAATTGTAGGATGTCATCTGCTGTAATGCCACGAGATATGTCAAGAATTGCTTCCCACAACTCAGCGTTGCTCCTGAATTGTCGTCTGTTGGCGTACAGTCTTCGCTTCATGATGCTCCAAAGGTTTTCGATTGGGTTCAAATCCGGAGAATTTGCTGGCCACTTCATTTTTCAAGGTCCATCAGAACCTAACTGTTTCAAATATTCAGTAGTCTTGTGAGCAGCATGTGAGGGAGCATTATCTTGTATAAAAACAATGGCCCTTCTGAAGGCAACTCTTTGCCTTTTCATCCACAGTTCAAGATGCCCCTTCATAAATGCTATGTATGCATCAGCAGTCATTTTGACGCCATCTCCATGGGCTTACTAATGTTTTTCCAATAATACCACCCCAGATCATTATGCCTCCACCGCCTTGTTGGTGTCTCAAACGCTGATGGTGATTCTGTCCATTCATTACCCAGCATTTGCACCATCTATCTGGCCCATCAAGTGTTGCTCAAGTTTCGTCTGTGAACAAAACTTTAGAGAAATCAATCTTCATATTGTCCTCGGCCCATTTCAATCAATTTTGAATGTGATTTCTCATCAACGGAGGCTTCAATACAGATTTGACTGTTGTTGATATTTCCTTCAGATACTGACACCGAGTACTTTTAGACACAGTAGGATCCCCAATGCGACTGAAAAGCTCTTGACTGGTAAGTCCAGGGTTCTTTGTGGCCTCTAGTTTAACTTGTGACATAAGAAGACATGAAATAACCCTTGGCTTGCCTCTATCTGCCCTTTTGCGTACTTGTGTAGGGTCGGCGGTGAACTTTTTCGCTGTTTGATGACTCCTCCCTATCATTTTAGAAATTTCTAGGGTAGATTTACCTTTTGAGAGTTCTGAGTTGATAGTTTTCTTTTTAGCATTACTTAAACTGCTTTTATGGCCCATCTTTTTACTAAATTCTTACACTTTTCTAATAATTTGGCACGCTCAAATCACTGTGCTGATAACAAATATGGCACCAGTTTGTTTACATTGCGCAGATCAGTAAGAAAATTTAAGTGATTGCGCAGGTCAGTGTTGCCAACATTGTGTGAAAATTTTGTGTGAATTGATTTGATGGTTTTTGAAATATAAAAAAGTTATCTCAATAATAATTTGGCACGCAGTGTGTGTGTGTGTATATATATATATATATATATATATATATATATATATATATAAAAAAATATTAAAAAATTAAAATCTTCAGACACAGTGGGTTGTAGATTAATATTCTTTCGTTTTTATTATTATTTCATTTAGATTCCTCGACTAGTTTCAGCCAAAATGGCCATCATCAGGAGAAGAAATATTTCTGCTTGCTGGTAGCTGTGTGTGTGTGTGTGTGTGTATATATATATATATATATATATATATATATATTTAATTAATTCATGTTAAGGAAAAACTGTTGTCATTGATAAAAAATATATTTGATACTGTCAAATTCTGTTGGAAGGAAAAAGTGAAAAGATATATTTTTTTATTATTAGATTTTTTTTCTGTCTCGATTGAAGATTTTTCATGATCAATGGAAAAATTTGTTCAAGGGAACGCCTTTCTAAACATTCTGAAAAAGATGAAAGTAGTTTTTTTTTTCATTTGGTTCCTTTATTTTTTTTATTGATTAAAAATTACTAAATTCTCTTTTCTTTATTCTCTGCTTATGTGAAACAAGTTTTCCATTCATTGTTTCAGGGTCTGTTTACTTGGACGTTTTTTTTTTTTCATTTTATCTCCACAAGATATGTAAAGTGCATTCTCTGATGAACCCAATTATTTCTCTAAAATGACTAATTATGCATATTATTTTATTGCACATTCATAGCGTGTTCTATAAAGAAGCATTTCATTCATATTCTGAAGCAAATTACCTGTTTTATCACCAACCATGTACAGAAAAAGTATCTCTGTAGTGAATATGAAATAACTCCCCTTAGCCACTCCCTAAAAATTCAGAGGTGCTGAGTAAAAAGATTGAAAGAAATTTGCAAGCCTGTGTGAAATATTGGACCAATAAAAACCTTGTTTCGCAGGAATTAGCCATTGAGACTAAAAAAATGAAAGAAAAAATATCAAGCCTATGCGAAATTCTTTTTGATATAAAATAAGGAAAAAATTTAAATCAATATGAGAAGAGTGTCTGAAATCATATGAAAAGTTTACCTTCTGTTTACATTCAGATTTTTGTCTAATTACTTGCTAATTATATTATCAGCCTTAACCAAGCACTTAGCACTTCAAAGAACTTTATTTCAACAATCCAAGAAAGTTAAGTATTTAAGAATTCTCTCTTCATCTACTTTTGAATGTATGTACCTGTATATCCCTTCTGTAGGCACTCAACACTTTTACCTTTGTCTTAAACATTTTTAATATTATTTTGTATAAAATCATTTAATCTCTTGTATGATATAAGCATTTATTATTCATGGCAATTTGTTGAAACTATAGACTTTAAAAATTTCTGATTTATTTTCCTGAGATGAGCAACTTGACACAACTTCAAGTGTGTAAATTCATGGCAGCTGAAACTTCAGGGACACAAAATGAGAAAGGAGGGTTTGGAAAATCTGATACTCACAGGGTAGATAGAGGGAAAGAGAGTCAAGGGAAAGCAATGTGTGACATACTTAATGGGTTTAAGCAAGTGGATGGCAGAACAATGTCTGGGGAAAAATAGCAAAAGTTAAGGCTTATTGAGAGTTCCAAGAGACAGGAGGAAATAGAGAGCCATGATCGCCCATGTCCTGAAGGGACATGGCACATAAAAGAAGAATCTTGTTTTGTTAAAATTACCTGTGTGTTTCCTCATTATTATCTGCCTCCATTAACCTTCTTGCATGGATAAACCAACTATTCATTTTAACCCAAAGTCCCACATCACTCTATCACTCTGATATATGTGACTATCTACTCATAGTGCAATTGTCATCAATGTAAGAAGTGAAATGGCTGAATAATTCAAATTCCAGTTGATTTTGTTTTCTACAATTTGTACTATGTCCTTGGAAAAGACAAGAATTCATCTTTAGTCAACTATGAATTAAATTGCAGAAAAGAATAGGCTCTCTTGCCTTGGGTGACAGCCAGTCTAGGAAAAAGAAGACTTTGAATTCAAATCTGAGGCAGGCTGCTTAGAAACCTTGTGGTACACTGTACATCATATTTCTGTCACCAGTTCTTTCAAAAGGTGTGGTTAATTCTACTATAACCATTGCCTGAAACACTGTAACAAAAAAAATAACAGAAGACAAGGAATCAGAACAAAGAAAACAATATATTGACAGGAGTTCTGTCTTGATTGAATGCTCCACATTTATAGCCTTGTGCCAGATTGGTCTAAGCTTAATAAATGTCTACAGGATACCTACTCTAATACAATGAATGTTAACTTTATCTCAAAGACCCACTGACTAATAAATTTGATTATAATGAGGTGCTCTACTGTTTCTCTCTTTGCCCGACTATGCTTGTAAAATCCTTTAAGTTTCTAGACAGATGCAATGGTTAAAAAGCTTGTCTTATATATATATATATATATATACACACACACACACTCATTTTTTATATATATATATATATATATATATATATATACACACACTCATTTTATATATATATATATATATATATATTTATATATATATATATATATATATATATATATACACTCCATTTTATTTTATTATATATATATATACATTTTATTTTATTTATATATATATATATATATTTATATATATATATATATATATATATATATATATATATATATTTTATTTATATATATATATATATATATACTCCATTTTATTTATATATATATATATACTCCATTTTATTTATATATATATATATATATATATATATATATATATATATTTTCCATTTATATATATATATATAAGTGGCAACAAGTCATTGCAAATAATGGTGAATATATAACTGAATAAGACGTAATTGTATTTTATTTTTTGGAAGAATCATGTTGATAAACAAAAAATGGATATTATTTATGACTCAACATATTTTTTTAAGTTCTGTGTCCTTTTTTCCCCTGCTTGAAATAAAGATTGTTAAAAGCAGCTACTTCTAACTACAAAATGGCTTATGGTCACATCACATTGAAATACTGGTTCTCATTTCATCACTAAAGTTCAGCAATGTTGAGCCTGGTCAGTACCTAGATGGGTGACCACTTGGGAATACCAGGTGCTGTTAGCTTGGATGTGCAGGTGGTGTAAATTGTTAATCGATTTGGTTTTGTTATATTTTTCTATATTTATTTACATGCACACATCCTTGGGAAATGTATGAATCCACCTCTTCCCCCCAAGCTATGGGTTAATTAGTAATACATGTATTACTAAACCATTATTATCACCCCCACCCCCAAAAAATTCTTACAATCTAAAAATATTTTCTGGCTTTTAATAACCTGCAATGTGTTGATAAGCCATAAAAAAATGAATCACACAACAATAACTGCAGAATTTTCACTGTTGCAAATCTATTGTAAAGAATCAAATTTGAGAGTATCCAGCTATGTGTAAATAGCAGGATTGACTTAGCACTATAGCCTTAGTTGGAAACCAGTTTAGGAGAATAAAAACTATAAAATGCAACCATCTGGAAGAGCCTTAGACTCTGTCAGGCCATCTTTCCCAAGACACACAATTGCTGCTATGGCTGCACTACACATGGTGCCCCTATGACCCTCCAGGGTTCTGGAAATTGTTATCATGATGCTATATGTTGCACTTAATGTTATGGTTCACTCAAGCCAGTATGTTGTTTACAGCCTTTATTCTGACAGTCAATAATCCAGAGAACCAAATGGTTTTGGAACCCCTATCTCTTTTTGTACCACTAACCATGACAAGTTTTTTAACCATTGCATCTGTCTAGAAACTTAAAGGATTTTACAAGCATAGTCAGGCAAAGAGAGAAACAGTAGAGCACCTCATTATAATCAAATTTATTAGTCAGTGGGTCTTTGAGATAAAGTTAACATTCATTGTATTAGAGTAGGTATCCTGTAGACATTTATTAAGCTTAGACCAATCTGGCACAAGGCTATAAATGTGGAGCATTCAATCAAGACAGAACTCCTGTCAATATATTGTTTTCTTTGTTCTGATTCCTTGTCTTCTGTCGTTTCCTAGTTACTGTGTTTCAGGCAATGTACACTCTGTCCTTCCTCAGTTGGTTTAATTTTTTGAAGTTGGGCCTTGTTCTGATCATTTCTTCCCAAAAAGTTGACAATTGCCTCTTCATGTTCTTGCAATCTCAAATCAAGCATTTCTTTTCTAATTAGTGGCTCTTATGTATTATTGATAATTTTCAATTTTTAATCATTTCTCTAAAATCAAGGCAATAAAGCCACTAAGATGCAAGTGGTTACTTGAAGTGAAACTAAAATGAAATTGAGAAGAGAGGATAATTAAAGACTAGGATTCAAGTAGCAGGTAGATGATGATTGACACTGTATTTACTTTTTCGAAGATTATTGTTGATAGGAAAACAAAGTAGAAGAGATTTCCACAAGCAAGAAGTGCAAGAGAAGAAACTAAATTTGGTGTGCTGATTGCATGATTTGAGTATAAATCTATTTGAGTAAATATGTGTGGGCTGATTCTTTTAACTTTCTTATTTTACTGTTGTTTTGTCAATTATTTTTACTTCATCCAACAGAGGTTAGGGTTATCTCCTTTCACCTTCTGCAGAGAACCAGCTATTGCTGATTTCAAAGTTACTCTGTAGATTACAGTTTTCTGAAGTTTTATTCTTATTTCAAAGACTGTCTTTATTTTGTAATGTGGAATATTGTCTTACAAACTAGACATCTGCAGGGACTAATATTTTTACTTGCTAGCTGATGCCTGAATTAAACTTTTTTTTTTTTTAACCAATGGAATATGAAGAGAATGAAAATGGTTTGTCTGTGTATATATTGACATTGAAATGTCTTCCTGTAACCAGTTCATTTATTGTCCTTTCTCCTCCCTAAAGTCTACTCATTCTCTTCCACTCCCAGTAACCCCTTGTGTCTCGGTGATATTTGGTCGGGATGAAATAATTTCATAAAAATATTTTTCATGCCAGCTCAAATAAAAACATCATATGGCATTATATAGGTGTTCAGAAATCCAAGGTCTCATTAAATGTGTTAGCAAATTTGTACATGATAACCCTGTGAAAACATTTGATGAGAACTATAAAATGATATGGTGAAAAAGTCATGCTAAATCAGGCTTTAATCAAAATATCAGGAAAAATGTTAGCAGAAAAAGAGAACAGAAAATTAATTCAGATTGAAATTTGAATTAAGGGCATTTGAAATGCATAATAACCTATGGCTATTACTTTTTCTGTATTTGCAATACATGTATATTATAAAAGCTCTAGTCATTTTTACACTTTACAATGACTTTTTACTGACAATCACTGCATGATTATTTACAAAATAATACATATAATAGCCCTATTCTTTTAGTAATGCTTACATTCATTCCTCACCACTTACAATCCCTTTCCTCCTCATTTGTAATGCATTCCTATAGTAAAACACTGCTACAAAATAATAATTCAATATATAATAGCCCTATTCTTTTAGTAATGCTGGCATTCATTCCTCACCACTTACAATCCCTTTCCTCCTCATTTGTAATGCATTCCTATAGTAAAACACTGCTACAAAATAATAATTAAAACATATCCTTTGCAATCTGCATGAGGGAACTAAATATAATATTTTAGTTATTCCAACTGGTGATAACTGAAGTTGGACTTGGTTTTCATGGAGTAGCAGTAAAGTGAGTGGGTAATACTAAACAAAGCATGCTGGGTATCAGATGCATTCAATGCTAAAATTCAGTTGTTATTATTACTTCATAATTCTCAATTCATACAATTACTATTAATGTAATCAATCTGCTGAATGAATGTTTTTGACATTATTGTTTAATAAATCTTCGCCCTGATTTCATTAGTTACATGAGTGTCAAATATTTCTACAACCAATGGTAAAATTATGCATTTAACTGTCAACAAGAATCAAATTTACCTGCCAACCAGTTTGGCTGCAGAACAAGCATCTATAGATTCTGTCATCTTTATTTCACCCTGATTGTCTTTCATTTCCAATACATTAATATCAATTGAATGCATACGTTAGAAACATAGAAGCTTGATAAATAAGTCTATTTGTAATCTCTCTGCCATATGAATATGTAGTAAACGTTACATAAGTCACTGGCATGCGTGTGTAAAGAGAATTCTACTCTACAGACTTAGGATATAATTTCATTTCTTTGACCTATCGATTGCTATGCATACGAGGGAAAGGATCTAGGGTGGCTAAAGCTATTTTTGGCAGCCTTGTCTTAGAAGAGAAATATGACAATAAAAGAATTAGCCTTAAGAGTTGTGCAGAATAAATTCTCTGCTCTGTCAATATCTATGGTGGAATAACCTCTATGGCCACTGTCCTGTTAATATCTTATATGCAGGAATAACCCCTATGGCCACTGTCCTGTTAATATCGCATATGCAAGAATAATCTCCATAGCCTCTGCCCTGTTAATATCGCATATGCAAGAATAATCTCCATAGCCTCTGCCCTGTTAATATCGCATATGCCAGAATAACCTCTATGGCTTCTGCCCTGTTAATATTGATAAAAGAATAAACTCTATGGCCTCTAAAGAAAAGTACTGTATGATCTATACTCATTGTCTATAATGGAAAAAACATTTATGAATTCTTGTTAAAGTTATTCCCTTGATATTTATGAAGACTGTTCTTAAACTTCAAATTTTCAATGTTCCTCATATTGCTTTTAAATCTACTTATGCAAAAAATCTAGAGAATGGTTTGCTCAGAATCACTGGATGAATTTTGGCAACAGATTTCAATGAATTAATATCAAGGTAACTCTCAAGAGAAATGAATCCTTGTAAAGCCACATACTGAAAGAGAGAGCAATGACTCAAAGCAAAATAAGTCAAAATTTTTAATTTGAATTTAATTTAAAGGTTTTTATTAATAGTTTTCTCTATGTTGCTTTTGTTACAAAGCTCTTTGACAATTTGAATTAACAAAATGCTTAATTATTTGATTGCTAGTTTTCTGTTTTATAACATTCTACATTAATCACTTCTCTGGCCATGAAACTGACACTTCTCTGGCCATGAAACTGACACTTCTCTGGCCATGAAACTGACACTTCTCTGGCCATGAAACTGACACTTCTCTGGCCATGAAACTGACACTTCTCTGGCCATGAAACTGACACCTCATTGGAAAGAAAGAATTTTTTGATGAGATTTGAGCTCTCATCCTACACCTTACTATATGCACTTTGGTCACAGACATCTGATTAAGCAGAAGAAATGGCCCTGCCTTACATAATTCCTTACCATTTGAAATGTCAAAGGAGATGGATTTGTTGTGAGAGAGGACTCATGAGAAATGTTAACCCTTGTGCAAACTGGAAGCATGAAGGCAAATATTTTAAATTAAGTCAACCCTTAAACTAAAACCAAAATATCCCCATTAAACAAATCATGGTGTTAAATAAGCTGTTAAAAATTAAGATCATGAACGTGTCCTCAAAAAGAAGCAACTTCATCTAAAAAGAACTGAATTTAAAAAAAAAAAAAATGAGGTTTCTTTATCAAATACTGGCTTACAGTTACATCATGTTGAAACACCAGTTCCCATATGATCACTGAAGTTAAGCAATGTTGAAGATGGTCAGTATCTTAATGGGTTACTGCTTTGGAATACTGGCTAGGATAATAGATAATGGGACAGAATTGTTAATCAGAAAGCCAAGTTCCAATTCCAGTTGGGTTTGTTAAATTCACTTACATGCAAATACCTTTGGGAAAGTTATGAATCAACCTCTTCTCCCTCCAGCTATGGATTAATTAGTAAGACTTGTATCACCAAATCATTGCTATCTCCAAAAGGAATTTTTTAAATATTAAAATCTAAAAATATTTTTTGGCTTTAAATAATTTGTAAAGGTTTGAAAATGAATCAATTTATTAAATACTGGAATATGACTTGAATCTGTATTTGATAAGGAAAAAATAAATATAAAATAATTTTTTATAAAATGAAATTAGAATTTAAAAGTTTTTACCCATTTTAATGTAAAATTTAAAATATTGTTAATCATTGTGGCAGTCTACTGTAGTAAACTCAGTTTAGTAAAGAAAGTGATGGAAAAAGAAAGGCCTTTTTTTTCCAGTGAGAAAATACTTCTATGGAATTCTTTAGATTAACCATAAATGTCTTAAAACCATAATATTAGGAAACTCCATCTGCCATAAAAAGGAAGTTTCAGAAGGTTTGTGCTAAAGGAACTTGGTAAAGTAGTTAGAAAAAAGATAACTGATGGCTGCACACGTTTTCCTGGTCTTGAAAAGGTTTAAAGTATAATGAAAAATGTTAGTTTCCTTTATATGGGAGGCAGTGAAATGGAAGTTTCTTATCCAAACAGTTGAAGCCACAATTCCTCTGTTATTTTGATTTCTTTTCTTTGTTCATGTCACTTAGTGCTCTTGGGGAAAGTCTAAGACCATGAAAGAAAGAAAAATGGCAACAAGTAGGAAAGCAATCAAATATCACTGGAGGAAGTTTGTATTTGTTTTTGTTTGTATTTGTCAGAGAAAATGAAATTAGAAATATTGGGGGGGAAAAAATCTATATCATCTCAGATTTTCTTTTCTCGTTATAAATGTTTAAAAACAATGCTTCCATGTACCTAATTGTTCTATCAAAAATGTATTATGATACACTATAATTCTTCTTGTGTTTTATGTTTGCTTTTAGTATTAGAAGTTGCCTCCATGACTCAAGCAGAAACTTCAAGAGACATGTTTCTTTTGCATCAGAAGACGAGGTGTCATGTCATCAGACAAAAAACTTAATTTGACTGGGAGGAATTATAAGAGGAGAAATATTTAGATCTATAAAGTACATAAAAGAAGTTTTTATTGATTTAAGATTATAGATCCATTTTCTGACTCTTCAGGGAGTAATTTTCTGTAAGGTGTTAGCTTCTCTAGCATCTTTTTTTTTTATAATTTTATTATTATTTTTAATTTGAATTTTTATCATGACACTGTTGTGATGACATATTTTAAGTTTTAATATCAGATATTCAAACAGTTTTACAAAGTTAACTTTATTTTTTGTTAAATGATATTTAAAATAAGTTTTTTTTTGCTTTGAATTTTTTGTTAAGACATCTGAAATAATGGTTTCATTTTTTGTTAAGATACTGAAAACAGATTTTTTTGTTAAGATAATTTAAAGAAATATTTTTTTTTTTAGATATTTAGCCTTTTTGTTAAATTATTTAAAGTAGCATTTTTTGTTAACTTTGTTGCAGGCTTCAACATTTTTAATGATATAAGCTTCTGGCACATTTAACCTGCTGACAATTTTTGGTGGACTCATGTAAGTCCAAAGGAAAAACAAGACACAGAATTTTGCAGGAGTGAAAAGAGAGATTGATTCTTTTAAACATTACACTTCTTGTAATTATTGTCAGGGGGCATTAATTCCAAAATCTCACTGGATATGATTATCATCAGGGGTGGTAATGCAACAATACTTAGATTGAAGATTTTCTTATAAAATCTGATTTGTTATGTATGTTTCTAAATGTTATGGCCAATGTACAGTGCAACCAATTTTTTTTTTTTTTTGTTGTTCGGGGTACTGACATTTTAGGTAAGGGCATGTTGTCTTTTATTTTGATTTGTGTAGGCATTTGTGTGATTATTTTAGTGTAAGCAGGTTTTAAACGATTGATTGATACAGTCTTTTCTCTTTTTTGAATGACAAAATATTTTTCATGTCGTTCCAACATTTTATGTGGATCTGAATAATTTGGGAATAATGGTTCTTAACCATGTTATTCCTAAGAAAAATATACTCACAATTATGTAGATCTGCAATTTTAAAAGATTATTTGGTCACACATCTAGCAAGTGTAAAAGATGTGTGCAGTGTAGGTCTTCTAGTGTTTCATATTGTTAGGTGGGTAATAGTTAGGTTAGCTACCCAATTGTAAGGGTCAATCTTTGTGGCATGTGCAGTTTTTAGCTGTCTGTGGAATCTTTCCACAATTCCCTTAGCACAAGGATGTTATGCAATTAGTTTGGATGTGTTTGACTTGGTAGGTTGACAAATTCCTTGAAAAGTATGGTTTGAAACTGTGATCCTCTGCCAGTAGTAATTACAAATGGCACTCCAAAGGTACTGATCCAGTTGTCCAGTACAACTTTTGTGTTAATCTCTTTGGGAGGTATTTGGAATAGGAAAAGCAGCAGACAACTAAATTGATCCACTATGGTGAGCATATTAGCAAAACCATGTGCATCCGGCAGGGGTCCAACAATGTCTATGTGCAAATGAGTGAACCTACCAAAGGGTCTCTGAAATTTACCAATGGGTGATTTTGTATGTTTACCAATTTTGTATTTTTGACACTGAATGCATTGCTGTATCAAAGTGGACATGTTTGGCCATAGAAATTGGTTTGTTATCACATTCGTGTTGCTCCTCTGCCAGGATGTGATAAATCCTGGATGTGGTTGAAAATTTCTTTTTATGTAATGATGGTGGTATCTAAAGTCAAGGGAAACCTTTTTTCATGACATACAAGTAAGTCAAATGTCTGAAAGGGATAGGTAAACTTTCAAGTTGCAATGAAGTATCTTCCTTGACTTGCAAAAATGTAGTCTTTTTTTTTTTTTTTCTTCAGCGATATTCTTTTAGATTAAACTTTTCATATTTACTGAGGATATGCAAGTATAGGGAAAGTGAGTCTACAACAATATTTTCTTTACTTTTTATATATTTTAGGTTTGAAGGAAATTGTGAAATGTAGTTCAGATATCTTGTTTCATGTGGCAAATATTTGTCAGCCTTGCTGGAGAATGTGTAAGTGAGTAGCTTATGGTCTGTATGAGAGAAAAGAAGGATGTTGGTTTGTTTTCTTTTTTAATATTTTGCTGTAAAACAGCACCAACAGCGTTCGATGAGGCATCTGTTGTTAAAGTTAGAACTGCATTTGCATCATCACTGAGGTAATCCAGTTTTACAAAATTCACCAAAGCTTTCTTTGCTTCATGAAATGCATCTAAAGCAGGACCTTGAAGTAAAATTTTTTCCAAGTGCTTTTTAATATGTTTGTCAGTTGGGTTGACTTTGAACAGTGTAGCAAAAATCTTCAATAGTAATTTATTAGGCTAATAAACCTTCAAAGTTGACAAGTTGACTCTGGTTGTGGAAATTTTTTTATAACTGCTATCTTCTCAGGCAAAGGTGATATTCCTGTTTCATCTATTGTGTGTCCTAAAAATGAAAGGTTTTTTTTTTTTTTTTTTCACCAAACATGTGTTTATCAACGTTAATTTTTAGTCTCAAATGCTGCAGGCTTTCAAGAACAAGTTGATGTTCCATGTGTTCGCCTATATTTCTACTTGCTATTAATGTCATCAATGTTTGCGAAAGTGAAAGAAAAACCTCTTAATACTTCGTCTATCAAACTTTGAAAAGAATGGACTGTGTTTCTTAGACCAAATGGCATTTTGGTGAAGTTGAATAAACCATAAGTGGTAGTGATAGCAGTCTTTGGCATATCACTTTTTTGACAGGAATTTGATAGTATGCCTTAAGTCAAGTCTGGTGAAAATTTTCATTACCTGTAATCCCATTGTAAAGTCATGTATATGAGGGATAGGATATCAATCTTGGACTGTTGACCCGGTTAGTCATCAGAAATCGCCACATGGATGCCTGGCAGAAGAATCTGCTTTCAGTACCATGTGCAACTTGGAAGGTCGAATTATTCTTAACTGCAGCATATGCTGAAATTCTTCCTTTGCCATCTTCTGCACAGGGTAGAATTGGTCAGTGTGTAGTAGAGTGTCAGTATGTTTGAATGAGGTTGTAATCCCTGTGAATTTATGAAGAATTGCACGAGAAATCTTGTTGTCCAGTAGTGCTAAGCTTATAAATGTTGAAAGATATTGGGAAGGTATTCCATAGATTTTTAGTTGGGTTTTGTTGTCTATCAGTATCTTGGTAGTCATGTTCACAGGTTGAAATGTGTGAGGAAGTCTGCTCCTAGTATAGGTGTCTTCACATCTGCTTGTATAAAAATCCACAAAAACTCTGTTGTATGCCAAAATCTTAAAGCAAGTGCTTTTCTATTGTATGTGTTAATTTTTTTTATCGTTTGCTACTTGGAATTTATACAGTGCTGGTGTTAAATTTTCTGTTATCGGAGAAATAACGCTAATTTCGCCACCTGTGTCAACTAAAAATTCATATCTGCAACACAAGTCATGAATGTGAAATGGACAACTTTTCTTCAACTACCCGAATGCAGTCATCATTGTTACTGGTCAGAATATGCATTTCCCTGGTTCGGTGGTATGAATGTACAGGGTTTTATGCTCTTTTCAGCATGAGTACCAAATTTATGATCATACCAATATATTCTGGTTTTGTGTACGAAGGATTTTGAAGCAGTCAGCTGCTACATCTATTTCAACTGGAATCTCACCTGTGATAATGTCGGATATATCTTGATCTCACTGACATGGCTTCCATTCAATGGGTAAAGTTAGCTATGGCTGACTGGATGTTGCTAGATTTGGTCTTTTAAATCTCACACTACCTGCAATTATTATCAGGGGGGATTAATTCCAAAATCTCACCACCTGTGATTATTATCAGGGAGCAGTATTCCAACAAGCTTTTTAAAGTATCTTTTTTTTGCTAAAATATTTATGGTATGTTTTTTGTTAAGCTATTTAAAATATTGTTTTATTTTTTAAGCTATTTAATGTATGTTTTTTGTTGACCTATTTACAGTATCATTTTTTTTTACCTATTTAAAGAATCATTTTGTTTTTTGTTAACCTATTTAACCTATAATGTAATTTTTTTAACGTATTTAATGTAAAGTATATCATTATTTAAAGTATGTTTTTTGTTAAGCTAATTTCAAGCACGTTATTTTACTATGCTATTTTTAAGGTCTGTTTTTTTATTATGCTATTTTTAAGGTCTGTTTTTTTATTATGCTATTTTTAAGGTCTGTTTTTTTTATTATGCTATTTTTAAGGTCTGTTTTTTTATTATGCTATTTTTAAGGTCTGTTTTTTTTATTATGCTATTTTTAAGGTCTGTTTTTTTATTATGTTATTTTTAAGGTCTGTTTTTTTATTATGCTATTTTTAAGGTCTGTTTTTTTTATTATGCTATTTTTAAGGTCTGTTTTTTTTATTATGCTATTTAAATAAAACTGGAAGTCAATATTCAGAGTTGATTTCTATGTCGTCAGTATTATTTCAAAGTTATTATAGGAGACACTCGTATTTGATATAGATGCCCATTTTTAATTTAATGACATGCAATATTCCATTGAGAAATCTTAAAGTGTATTCTCAGGCAGGAATCAAACATGTATCCCCCTTAAGTTATTAAAGAGGACACACATATGAGAAATATGCAAGCAATATAAATTTGGGATTAAATTAATCTTTTATCTCTCTGTCATATATATATATATATATATATATATATAAAATAGCTCTGTTACTTAATATGGAGCTCTGTGTATGTGTGTCTGTGTCTATATTTCTAATTTATGGCCATATATGAATTTAAAAATTATAACTAAAATTCATATGAAAACTTAAAAACAACTGTTTATAAAGTAGTATGATCTTAAAGTAACTCTCACACGCACACACACACACACACACATGTGTGTGTGTGTGTGTGTGTGTGCACTTTCTGCTTCCTTCCTCCTGCAGCTCATAAATTTGATTACTTGTCTTAGAAATGTCTTTCTACAAAATTCAAATTATATTTTCCATCACAGTTCAGAGCACATAAATTGTTGGAGATTGAATCTCAAACAAAATCATATACAAACAAAAATCTTGTTTAATGCTGATATTGTTAAAAAAGAAACAATATCATCTTTTCAATGACACTTTTTGGTCATTTTGCTTGTGATTCATTCTATGAGAGTTATTTCGGAATTTCTTTTTTTAAATTTTTTGGCATACTAAATCTGTTTCTGTTTTTCTACTTTACTGTTCTTTTTACAATCGATTAGCAAAATGTTCTATTTTCCTCATATTCTTCTCTCATCTGCCATCTTCGTTTTTATGATCACTTTTTATCAACATCAGACAACATCAGATGAATGCAATTAGCTTTTCTTTAATTTGATTCTTCTTAATGAAATTCTCTTATTTCTATTAGAGATAGCAATATTTGTAGTTCCTTATATGCTGGTGTAAATACTAACAATGTTTCATTAACTCCTTATTAAAACAAGTGGTTTTTCCAATTTTTTTTTACAGAAACTTAGAAAATACATGTTTACATAAAAAAGCAATGAATAATTAATAGCTTTACATTAATTCCTTATCGCTAACAATCCCCACCTTTTTTTTTTTTTTTATCAATTGCAATGGATTTCCTCCAGGATTTTCTGAATCACTCAATGTAACCATTACAGTGAATGAAACTTTTGATGTATTTGTTTAATAAACAGTTCTGATAATAATAATAATAATTTCCAAGGTTTTCTGTGTGGGCTTTTAGCATTTTCTCTGTCATCCTGTACATAACCATTAGAGGAAATGAAAGTTTTCATGCAATCATTAGTAAATCCTAACTTTGCTAACACAGGTTATGCAAACATTTTATATATATATATATAATTTTATACACGCAGTACTTAGCGGAAAGTGCTCAATATCAGTAATAGACCTAACATACCGGCTCATTATTGGAAGGAACATTGCTACATATATCATTTTTCTCTTTTCTTTCTTTCCCCCCGCTCTTTTATTCTCTTTTCTTTCTTTACCCCCGCTCTTTTATTCTCTCCGCTTTCTTTCCCCCCGCTCTTTTATTCTCTTTTCTTTCTTTCCCTCCGCTCTTTTATTCTCTTTTCTTTCTTTCCCCCCGCTCTTTTATTCTCTTTTCTTTCTTTCCCCCCCCGCTCTTTTATTCTCTTTTCTTTTATTCTTTCCCCCCCCTCTTTTATTCACTCCGCTTTCATTCCCCCCGCTCTTTTATTCACTCCGCTTTCATTCCCCCCGCTCTTTTATTCTCTTTTCTTTCTTTCCCTCCGCTCTTTTATTCTCTTTTTCTTTCCCCCGCTCTTTTATTCTCTCCGATTTCTTTCCCCCGCTCTTTTATTCCCCATGCCTACTTTCCCCCCCGCTTTTATTCTCCCCTTTCTTTCCCCCCTCTCTTTCCCCCCCCTCTCGGCTTTCTTTCCCCCCTCTCGGCTTTCTTTCCCCCCTCTCGGCTTTCTTTCCCCCCCTCTCGGCTTTCTTTCACCCCTCTCTCAGCTTTCTTTCCCCCCTCTTTTATTCTCTCCGCTTTCTTTCCCCCCCTCTCTTGGCTTTCTTTCCCCCCTCTCGGCTTTCTTTTCCCCCCTCTCTTTATTTCTTTCCCCCCTCTCTTTTATAGTCTCCGCTTTCTTTCCCCCCCCCTCTTTTATAGTCTCCGCTTTCTTTCCCCCCTCTTTTATTCTCTCCGCTTTCTTTCCCCCAATCTTTTATTCTCTTCGCTTTCTTTCCCCTCTTTTATTCTCTCCCCCTTCTTTCCCCCCTCTCCTTTCTTTCCCCCCCTCTCCCTTTCTTTCCCCCCTCTCTTTATAATCTCCCTCTCGGCTTTCTTTCCCCCGCTCTTTTATTCTCTCCCCCCCTTTTCTTTCCACCCTTTTTATTCTCTCCCCTTTCTTTCCACCCCTCTTTTATTCTCTTCCTTTTCTTTCCCCCCCCGCTTTTATTCTCTTCTTTTCTTTCCCTACTACTCTTTTATTCTCTCCCCTTTCTTTCCCCCCTCTCCCCCCTCTTTATAGTCTTTCTTTCCCCCTCTCCGCTTTCTTTCCCCCCTCTCGGCTTTCTTTCCCCCCTCTCTCCGCTTTCTTTTCCCCCTCTTTTATTCTCTTTTCCCCCCCTTCTCCACTTTCTCCCCCTCTCTTTTATAGTCTCCTCTTCTTTCCCCCTTTTTTATTCTCTCCGTATTCTTTCCACCCCACTCTTTATTCTCTTCTTTTCCACCCCTTTTCCCCCCCACCCCCTCTTTTATTCTCTTCGCTTTCTTTTCCCCCACTCTTTTATTCTCTTCGCTTTCTTTCCCCACTACTCTTTTATTCTCTCCGCTTTCTTTCCCCCTCTCTTTTATATAGTCTCCGCTTTCTTTCCCTCCTTTCTCTTTTTATAGTCTCTGCTTTCTTTCCCCCTGCTCTTTTATTCTCTCCGCTTTCTTTCCACCCCACTCTTTTATTCTCTCCGCTTTCTTTCCCCCCTCTTTATAGTCTCCGCTTTCTTTCCCCCGCTCTTTTTTCCACTCTCCGCTTTCTTTCCACCCCTCTTTTTATTCTCTCCGCTTTCTTTCCACCCCACTCTTTTATTCTCTCCGCTTTCTTTCCACCCCACTCTTTTATTCTCTTCGCTTTCTTTCCACCCCACTCTTTTATTCTCTTCGCTTTCTTTCCCCCCCACTCTTTTATTCTCTTTGCTTTCTTTCCCCCTCTTTTATTCCTTTTTCTTTCCCCCCTCTTTTTCTCTTTTTCTTTCCCCCCCTCCTCCCCCCTCTCCGCTTTCTTTCCCCCCCCTCTTTCTTTCCCCCCCTCTCGCTTTCTTTCCCCCTCTCGCTTTCTTCCCCCTCTTTTTATAGTCTCCGCTTTCTTTCCCCCGCTCTTTTATAGTCTCAGCTCTCTTCCCCCCCCTGCTCTTTTATAGTCTCAGCTCTCTTCCCCTGCTCTTTTATAGTCTCAGCTCTCTTCCCCCCCTGCTCTTTTATAGTCTCAGCTCTCTTTCCCCCCCTGCTCTTTTATAGTCTCCACTCTCTTTCCCCCCGCTCTTGTATAGTCTCCACTTTTTCCTATTTTTCACTTCACTTTCCCCCTCTCTTCCTCTCTCCCCTTTCTTTTTCCTTTGTTTGTCATTCCTTATTCCTTTTTTGTTCATTTCTTTACTTTTCTTTTACTTCTTCCTCATTTCTATATCCCTCTTTTTTTTCAAATTCCTTTTCCATTTTTTTCTTTTGTCTTCATCTTCCTTTTCCTTTACTTTTTTCCTTTTCTTTTTCCTTCTTTCTATCACCACCAGTTCATTAACCATTTTTTTATAGACTTTTATTTATATTTGGGGAATTGAATACTTGATTTATTTCTTGAGCTTCTGCCCAACCAGTTTTGAAAATAATTTGTCTCGACTTTCAGCCATATTCTAAATATCTTCTCCAATTTTGCACCTGCCAGCAATCTGTGCAGCATATGTTTGTACACTTTTAAGTTATCAATCAAGTAAAATACCTGGACAGAAAAGCATCAACCTTTGTGCATTATCTTCTACAGAAAATTAATATGCATTTTTCTGTATAAGTAAATCTGGCATTATCTACACTACTTATTTTCTCCGTGTCTTTGGAAAGTACTTTTGAAAATTACTTTCAGCTTTGATTATTTTTCAATCAAATTGCATCAAAAATCATAACCTATTATATAAATCTGCTTATTGTGTTCCACTTAAGAGTTTTGCTTTTTTTTGTTACTTTCTCCATTAGAAAGTAAATTTTTGTGAAGATGTCTTTATTAAAGTCATTTGTTATTACAGAATTCTTTTTATTAAATACATCTATAAATGTATATCATGTACAAAAATTTTATTCTAAGATAACTTCCCATAAATATAAACTTATGTTCAACTTGATAAAATAATAGAAATAATGCTTAAATGTAATTTATTGATGATGGCTTCAAATTCTAGAAAACAAATTCATATCTTGTAAGTTGAGTAATTTTAATATTGAATTTTTTATTTAATTTTTTTTATTACAGGAATTCAATTTTCTGGCTTCTATCAGGGATGAGTTGTCATTTACGTTTGAACTGTTGTCCTCATCTTTCTTATTACCATGATTGAGAAGCACCAAAAGAAGGTCAATGAGCACAATGGTCAAAATGTTGTGATAAGAACAAAGATAAGGACATTAATCCAAATTTAAGTATAAATGAAACCCATCCTTTTTGACTCTGTAGCTGGTCACATGTTGTATGTTAGCTTCCCATCTGTTGTACCCAAATGGTCAGGTGGTAAGGTATGATGTAATTGTCTTGAGTTTATATAACTCCATATGAAGTATCCTACATTGTAAATACCAGCCTCAGTTCCTTCATATTTCTGAAATTCTGCTTTTATGTTATTCATGTTTGTTGTTTTGATGAGGTTTTTTACATTTTTTTCTTCAAACAGTATTCTTTACTACAGTTTCTGGTCACATCAGGCAGCACCTTACTGATAACCTGTGCCTGCCATCTGCTTAACTGTCTGGAATTATCTGAAGAGCCTTCTTGACTTGTTTCCATAACTGTATTGTCATTAAGATGCATAGAATTGCTAAAATCGGGTATTGGTATCTGTTGAGGTCTGAAATAGTTGTGGAGTCCAAAATAATGCTTTGCTTTGATGAGCATTCTAGCCACACCACCAAGTAATCTAATAGTCTTTGTTCACTCAATGAATTTTCACCAGCTTTCTTTAGTTTTTATCTGAAAATTTTCATATTCTATTTCATGTAGTTTAGCTGCTCTGTCAAGTTCACTTCTTGACAGTGCAAATTTTACTTTTTTTTTTTTTTTTTTAACTTAGTCCCCAGACCAAGAAAATAATGTCTCAGTAATGTCCAGTTGTCTTTTGCCCTTTTTCTTTTAACAGGTGGCAATGTCACTTCTTGTTCCGGTTAGAGTTATTCCCCTTGTTCAAAATTATTTCTTTATCAAAGTCACAGTTTCATAGTTAACTGGAGTGCTGTACATATTCTTTCCTTTGATGGGCACCATGGTCATGTGACACATATAGTGGCACATCATATATAATGTATAGTATAGAATAATACAATAAAATTTTATGTAGAGTTGAGACCTTTTAACCTCAATATTCATGACAGAATTGAGCTTCAATTTTGCATTTATATAGATATACTATATGAATTAGAGTATATAAAATCATTTTCATTGGAAATATTTACTGTAACTTATTTGGTGCTGTGAGATTTTATGATACGACTCAGGCTGGTGGGGTATTCATCCTCTGAGGCTAGAGAACCCAATCTACCCTGCTATTTAATCCAAAGATAAAAGAAGAGATGGATTCATGCCTTTTCCAAGGTCTTTTGTGTGAAACTTAAAGACTTTTTCAAAACATAGTGAAGCAAAGGGATAAACAGTAGAGCAATTCATTATAATCAAAGATGTTAGCCAATGGGTCTTTAAGATAAACTTAACATTCATTGTATTAGAGTATGTATCCTGTAGACATTTATTAAGTTTAGATCAAAATCTGGCATAAGGCTATAAATGTGGAGCATTTAATGAGTACAGAACTCCTGACACTAATCAATGTATTGTTTTCTTTGCTCTTATTCCTTGTCTTTGTTATTTTCATGTTAGTGTTTCAGGCACTGTACACTCTGGCCTTCCTCAGTTTTGACAATTGCCTCTTCTTGTTCTTGCAATCTCAAATCTAGCATTTTTCTAATTAGTGACTCTTATATATTACTGATAGCTTCAATCATTTTTCAACCTTTTTTTCCCCAAGCAAAGTGTTAATGCTAATAAGATTCAAGGGGTTATTGAGAGTAAAGGATATTAATGAGGAGACCGGGGAATAAAAGAACAGGTTTCAGGAGGACAGAAGATGGCAATTAATGTTACTTTAAATTTTTAAAGATCACAGATGGTAAGAAAGTAAGAAATTGAAAGAAAGTTCCACAGGCAAGAAGTGCAAAAATAAAAAATTAGAATAGAACTTAGTTTCATCTAGCTACTTGAACAGTAAAATAAAGAGACCTACTTGCCAATCCAGTAGTACACATTCATGCATTCAACATAAATAAGAAGAAAGGTCATTAGAACAATTGTCATGAAAATATTTATACAAAAGAAACAAGGTGGCCATGTTATGACAATGAGAAAAGGACTGGACTCGAGATGACAGGTCAAGGCCGATAACATTACAGAGCCTTCTTTAGATTTTGTGGAAGATCTTAAGATATATAGCAGGAGCATCAGACCAGATATTGCGGCAATATTCAATGCATGAATGAATGGTAGATTTATAATCATGCTTGATGTATACTGATGAGAAAAATTGTTTGTTATAACACAGTTAACCAACTTTCCAAGCAGCAGACCTAACAATTGATTCAACACAATCACTCCAGTTTATGGCAATGGAAAATGTGAGACCAAAAAGGCACAGTAAGTTGTTCTGGAGGGTAGCATCAGCCATAAAAATGGAGGGAAAAAATGGTTCTCTATAATGACTAAAAGATATTTGTTCTGTTTTGGATGTTAAAATTTACACACCATTTCTTGCCCTAGTTAACAACTGATTGGATGTCATTTTCAAGATCAGCTACCAATTTTACTTAATTGGAACTATCAGAGTTAGTATTTTACAAATGAATACATATAATGGTATAGCTGTTGAACTTTTCAAAGATTGTCATGGGTCATAGAAAAGATGAAACCTCAAAAGAGAAACAAGATATTGTAAAGTTACTGAGTGATGGAAGAGGTATAAAAAAAACTGTCATGGGTCATAAGAAAGATAACTTTAAAAGATACGATAATGTAAAATTAGTTGCAGGAAAACAATGTTGGAAAAAGTTGAACAAAGAAGAAATTGAAAACCTTGTCAAGAATTTTCTAAATATCAAGAAAAGTGGATTTCTCAATGAGAAGATGAAGCTGGGATTGCAAATGTAAAAATGACAGAACATGCTGAATTTTAAGAACATTGGCTGAAGACATGAGTGCAACTAAACTATCACTAAACATCACAAATATATTTAAGTTGAGTGAAGAAGTACATGAAAAATGATTTCTCAATATTAATTTGTAGTGATGAATGTAAAGTCACACTGGATGAAACTAATGGCAGAGTGAGAATATGGACTCTTCATGGAAATAGTTAACTGATATGACTTAGAAGACAACAGTGGGAAACTGTAGTTATTTTGGGGGTTAGTATATTTGGAAGTATTAAACTTCTTAAAAGTTGAAGCTAAATGCAAAGAATTATTCTAAGTTCTTGGACAAGGTGGGTTTTTTTTGTTTTTTTATTGCTATAGTTTACAGCAAAGAAACTTTAAAGGGTATATTCATGCAAGACGATCCTCCTTTACATTTTAAAAAGCTGGTTATTGCCCAATTTGCCTAAAAGTCTTTTAAATATCAAATCAATAGTATAGACTCAGTTTCTTCAAATATTAATCGTATAAAACATTTGTGCATCACCATTAAAAAATGTATATGAGAGGAGAAAAAATATTAAAGAAAGGAAGATTTATAGAAAGCAATAAAATCTGGAACAACTACTATTAAAATTGAAACAATAATAAAGTTAATAAAATCAATGGTTGAATGACTAATAAAGGTTATAGAATGTCAAGGGTCTTACAGTGGCATGTAAATTAAGAGAATAATTTATTAAAATATCTGTGTTATTGTGTTAATCAACTGTATGTTGTTATAGCCTTTTTGGATTTATTCATAAATAAAATTTATTTGTACTATTCACCTAATGGCCTAATGGATAAAAGTGTTGGTTGATTGATCTAAAAGTGACTTAACCCAAAGAGTTGTGAGTTCAATCCCTGGCCTCAACAAAAACTTGGTGAGTTATCAAGGGTAATTAACTAAGACAGATATCCAAAAACACATGTAATTAGATCTACCCCAGTGGACTAAATAAAGGGTTCAATTTGAAATTCAAATATCGCCTGAAGAAGGCCATATTGCATAAAGGCCAAAACATTGTGAATATGACAATAAAGATGAGGACAACAGTCCAAAAAAAGTAAATAGTATAAGTAGTTGCAATACCTAATCTCAGAAATATAGACAGATGATAAAATATTACGTTTACTTTATTTGTATAACAAAAGCTGATATCCACAAAATAAGTACTTCCTTAGATCATATCATTTAGGGAGAAACACAAACAAAATATTGCTGATATATTTTTTTTTTTTCATTTCATCTCAAGCTACTAGTATGCTGGGGGTTACAGGAAATGAAAGAGAAAGTAGACTGACGATGGGGAGGATTGAGGAAAGGACAAAAAATTAAGACAGAAGATAGCGACATTGTATTTAAATATTTGAAGATTGTAGTTATCAGAGGAGGAAGAAAATGGAAGGACTTCTATAGGCAGGAAGTGTGAGAAAAGAAATTGTTGGAGTAGAAGTGGTGGTTGCATTTAGCTATTTCAACAGTAAAATGGTGGGACCTACTTACCAATGTAGTCGCATGTTTAGATTACTATAGTCGGAAGTAAAGTTTGTTAGAGCAATTGCCATTAAAATATTTGTAGAAAAGACAAAGGGAAACCACATCATGCTGGTGAGAAAGTGACTGAAGTCAAGATGCCAAGTCAGGATGGATTACAAGTCCTTTCCTTTGGATTTTGTCAAGAATCTCAAGATGTATAGCAGGAGCACCAGACCAGATATAGCAACAGTATTCTATATACGTGTGAATGGTCATCTTAAAAATTTTACAAACATCAATTATTTACACTATTTATATTGTTCAGACTGTTGTCCTCATCTTTATTGTACACTTTGACCTTCTTCAGGTAATATATGTTGGAATTTCAAACTGAACCATTTTATCCCATCAAGGTAGATTCTTCTAATTCCACGTGCCATGTCTTTTTGGGATATCTCAGTTCCAGTTAATTCCCTTTTCATAACTCAACCCTCCAAGTTTCTGTTCATCTCTGCTGTGAACAGAAGAAACTTCCACAAGCGAAAAGTGCAGGAGAAGAAACTGTTAGCATAGAACTTGCGGTTACATCCAGCCAATTAAACAGTAAATTGAGACCTTGTTGCCAATCTAGTACTGCGCTTAAATTCATAGTCTAAGTACCATCAAAGGGAGTTCATCATCACTGAGATGGTTAAAGCACATCAGATCTAAAAACAGTATCTCCTGCAAAGAAGAGCACAGGTTCGTATCTTGCTGCAGGCCACATTTTTTCTCTCTCAAATGTTCGGGGCAATAGACAAAATAAGATTCTGTTTAAAAATGGAGGGTCTATTCAAATATGGGTATCCACTAAAAATAACATTTACAGTAATAAATATCTATATATCATTCAAATATTAACTACAGCTAACATTTAGTGTTTACCAAAAGATAGCTGAATATAGATGGATAGTAAATAATTCACAGATACACTGCTTGAGTTAGATAAATCTATTATAACAATAAATCTTATTAGATAGATATAGTCAGTGTAGACATAATAATCAACACTGCACAATGACTGTCAGTTTTATATCCGAGAGATATTCAGAACAAAACCCATGACTGAAGATCACACTGAGGAATGAAACTGACAATCCCCATGCAGTGTTAATCATTATGTCCACACTGTTTACAAACCCTCTGTTTCTGATATTGAATACTTTCCTCTATAGATACTGCTAATTTTAAAGTGTGTGTGTGTAATATATATAATATCGTGGATACTGGTATTTGAAATAGTTGACCCATTTTTTATTGTTTTTAAACAGTGTTTGTGCATTTGAGAAATGTTGAAGAAATTGTTCTCTTCAGCAGGAATCGAACTTGCACCCCCCTTTGTAGGAGAAACCACCATTTGATCCAACATGCTTTAGCACTCAAATATGAAGAGCATCACAATTCAGCAAAGCTCTGTTTTCACTTTTAAGGAAAACATGCCTCCTCATTCAGTTTGTTTTCCTTGAAAGCCTCTAACTGTTCAGATATAGATCAACAATGTAAACTAAGCAATTTCTAAGGAATTAATGAATTTATTTAAAATCAGCATTTTGTTTCAAACATTTTTAGAGTGGATATTCATATTTGAAATAGTCTTGAAAAACATTAGAATATGCATAGAAATCAATAAATATTGGGAAATACATTCTGGCATTTTTTTTTCTTTTTTGCAAGCTTTTGTCATCTTCAATGTCCAAAGTGATTTTCTTGTAAGTAGAAATTTTCCACTGCTTATTATTAATTTGGAAGGTTTCTCTTTACTTTCATATAGATGGCAAGTGAAATCTTTCTGTAAAAATTGGAAACTTCTAATAAAGACTTAAGCAATGAAAAGCTAAAATAAACGTTTGTGAGTTTGCCAAAATTAACAAATCCATCAGCCAGCTTCTTTGCCAGGAGTAACGGCTTCTCTTTCAAATCCTAAGTCAAATGTGAGGATTGTAAGTTGGCAAATGAATAGTCATAGACTTTGGGTGGAACTTAAATCAGTGCAAATGTCAAATTTTTCCAAAAATACTTTTCATATATATGATCTTTAGAAACCCGCTTTCATAACACCCTAAAGCATATTTTTATTTGGAAAATATATTTTTAAAACCTCACATTATTTGTGAAACTTTTTCTTAAAATTTTTTCAAATGAAATTTATTCTCTTAATATATATATATTTTATTTACTAATCCTACAGATTTTATTACTCAAACATTATTTTTAGTGGATACTTGTATTTAAGTAGATGCTCCATTTATTTATTAAACAGTATATTTATACACTGTTTAATAAATATATATAGAGTATCTACTCAATTATCCATTAAAAATAACATTAAAGTAATAAAAATTTGTTGATTAATAAATAAAAATCCATTCCTTTTATATATATATATATATATATATATATATATATATATAAATCTAGATGTCTGTATACATTTTATAGTTTTTATATATATATTGTGTGTGCTTTATTAATTTCTAATATTTTGTTTTCTATTTTCAGGTAAGTATAGCAGTCCAAATGGTAAGATTTCTTTCATTACATAAAAAAAATCAAAATAGAAAAAATAACAAAGAATTCCAATTTTCAGAAGACATTTTGAAATTTTCAGTGGAATATCTTCCCCAACAAGCCTTGAAGTGAAATTTTGTTAAAAAAAACAACTAAAAGTTGAAACAAAATATCAATTTTGTTGCCTTATAAACCAAAATAATCTTCTTTTTTTTTTTTCTTTTTTTTTTTTTTATAAACTATTTTTTTTATGTAATTCTTTTTGAATAAATTTAGCAAAAATTTCAGATTATATCCCTCCTCTCCAGCAGTCTCATGAAAAATACTATTCTTCTATCTTTTAACTACAATTACTAACAATGCATGCTTAGAAGGAACATATGCAGTTCTTTCACTCTTCTTTCCATATATATATATATATATGGTGTGGCAGAAGTACCTCCCACATTTTAAAAGTTGACAAAAAAAAAACAAGTTAACTGCTATTAAAAAAAATTTTCACATTTGTTTAAACAAAGCAGTACAGTTTTTTTTTTTTTATTGATTTGTTTTAAAAATGACCTTCAAATGGTGGCCTATATTCACCATACAACACTATTGCAGAGGATTTCGAAATTTCTTCCTTCACCTGGAAGTTTGAGTTTTTTTGTTTTTTTTAAAGTGCTGAACCAGTGGCTCTGAAATTTTCAACCAATACCAGAGTATCAATTTTCCATCCAGAACAGCACCATCCAATGTAACATGAAATGAGAATGAAAGGCTTTTTGTGTTGCAATTACAGATTTATTAGTCTTAAAAGACGTTTCAACAGCAAATGTACATTGTGCACTGGACCATGCCGTGATAGTATCTGATCATATCTGAAAATAAATGGTAAGACATTAGATAGATAAAGACACCATTGCCATTCACCTAAGTTCACTAGCACCATATAAGTGACAATTCAAAATGTGGGGGGATATTTCTGTTTCACTTGTTATTTCCTGGCATGAATCACATACTACATCAAGAAGAGGCTAAATGAAGGGATAAATGAACCTATCCTGAAATTGAAACACCATTCACCAGTTCCAGGACATTTGATGAAATATGACCTTTAATATTACAGGATTATGGTAGTATTGGTAGTTTATGTCATTTCCAAAAACATTAGTTTACCAGAGAGCTCAACATCATAATGATGACCCAGGAGAGATTCTTGAGCCAATTTAGGAGGAGGAAGTTTCAGGGTTTTAACCACTTCCCTTGTGTAGATATATATATATACACACACACACACATTTTTACTGAAAGTATCTTTTTTAAACACAGATGAATAAACACATCCAAAACACAATGATTAAAAGCCAGCTACAGACATGTCTTTATGTTGATGTCAATTTTTTTTATGTCATTCTGAGCTTGAAATGAGTCCAATTGTCAACTACTATGTCTGGTAGAGTTGTTAGCCACGGCTTGAGTGCTTCAAGGTGTCTGTTTCTTAGTCACTATATTAAAAAGAATTTAAAAAATATTGTCTGAAAACGTTTTTCCCTCGCCACGCGTCTCTTTTTTTTTTTTTTTTTTTTTCCCACGCCATCTCCACGCCACGTTTTTTTTTTTGCGTCTCCCCCTCACGCGCGTCTTTTTTTTTTTTTTCGTCTCCCAGCCACGCCGCTTTTTTTTTTTTCTCCCCTAGCCACGCGTCTCTTTTTTGCATCTCCCAGCCACGCCTTTTTTTTTTTTTTTTTTGCCTCCCAGCCACGCTTTTTTTTCTTTTTTTTTTTTTTTTTTTTGGCGCCTCCCTAGCCCGCCCTTTTTTTTTTTTTTTTTTTAAGGCCTCCCTAGCCACGCGTCTTTTTTTTTTTCTTGCGTCTCCCTAACCACGCGTCTCTCTTTTTCTTGCGTCTCCCTTTTTCTTGCGTCACCCTAACCACGCGTCTCTCTTTTTCCTGCGTCTCCCTAACCACGCGTCTCTCTTTTTTTTTTCGTCTCCCTAACCACGCGTCTCTCTTTTTTTTTGCGTCTCCCTAACCACGCGTCTCTCTTTTTTTTGCGTCTCCCTAACCACGCGTCTCTTTTTTTTTTTTTTTTTCTCCCTAGCCAGGTGTTTTTTTTTTATACTTTTTTTTTTTTTTTTGCGTCTCCCTAGCCACGGTCTCTTTTTTTTTTTCTCCCCTAACCACATGTCTCTTTTTTTTTTTTTTTTTGCGTCTCTCTAGCCAGGTGTTTTTTTTTTTTTTTTTTTTTTTTCGTCTCCCTAGCCAGGTGTCTCTTTTTTTTTTTTTTTGCATTTGCTCTCTAGCCAGGTGTCTCTTTTTTTTTTTTTTTCGTCTCTCTAGCCAGGTGTCTCTTTTTTTTTTTTTTTTTTTTGCATCTCCCTCGCCTCGTGTGTCTTATGCGTCTTCTTTGCTACATGTTTCTTTGTTTGATCACAGACATTTCATAATGTTTGTCTATTATGTAATATATTTATCTTTATTGATAAAAAGCTTCAAAACATTTTTGATTCTTTGTTTTCCAGTTTTTTTTTTCTGTTCATTTTTTTATTTCATTGTCCGAGTGTTTTTATAAAGTTTTTGTCACCTGCATTAATTTGTTACCCTGCCATAATCTGGTTGATCATTTAACAGAAATTGGAAGAAAGTACAACAAAAGATACTTCCAATGACTTTCTCTTTCCCTCACTGCATCTTTGCAGCATGGTGACACAACATGCCATTCAATGTTATTTTTTTTTTTATTTCTAAACATTCTTGTGATTCTAGGAAGAAATCATATAGATTGGGTTTCTTCATGTCCCACCAAAACCTTCTTGGTCATAATTTTTTATTGAATGTTGCTTTCCTAAATAATAAAAAGGGAAATTATGATATATGACTCTTCTCCAATTAATATATGTGCAGCATTTTTTGATAGATCTCCATTTTTTACAAACAAATACTAAAACAATATACGATAATTAAAAAATCTGGAATACATTAGTTAAATTTTAATTTCTTTTTCAAGAAAGTGAGATTTAAAAATTAAGAAATCAGACACTTAATGTAATATGTTTCAATTCAATAATGTACTTTTTGGTTTGTTCAAATAAAATTCTTCTTTTGATGGTGCAAAATTATTGGTGAAATCTGTCAAGTTTAATTTTTCAAAATTGTCTTAGATATTTTCCATTCTGTCAAATTTCATTCAATTTTACTCATCGAGATATATATATATATATATGTATGTGTGTGTGTTAGCAGCCAGTGTTCATGTAGACAATTTTGTTGAAGATAATAGACACATCTATCATATCACAAAATTGTTTTTCCTAATTGACAGATTAATTTTGATATATGATATATTAGAATTGAAAGTATTATAAAACTATTCAGAATTCATGCCAGTTCATGTCAAGGTTCAAATTTTCAGCCAGTTTCAGTCATTATGAAAACCAAAGTATTTTTGGTGATTATCAACATCCTTGTAATGATATTCTGCTGCAAATTTTAGTTTCTATCTATGACATGTTTTCATTAAAATTGCCATGTAAGTTGTGTCACATGAACTTGATTTTATTTTTTTTAAATTAAAATTTTTATGATGGCACATGTATGGGATGTTTCTGGATAATGACTCTAATAACAAATATATTATCTAACTAACCATTCTTTAAATATATAACAGGTGATTAAAAGTGGGTTACATGTTTAACTCAAAAGGCAAAGCATTGACATGGATAAAGCTCCACACCCAACTCCAATAGCTAAGCATTATATATATATATATATATATATATATATATATATATAATGTACATAATACCTCATCTCAGAAATATAGACAAATCTTTCAACCAATCTTCATCAAACTTGACAATTGCTTTATAAATGTATCCTGGTAGCACACTGAGAAATTGAATTTCAAAAATTGTGGCCTGAAGTGGGTTTTCATGTTGTCCGTTTTACCCCTTCATGTCCTCGGCTAACTTTGATTGAATAAATAAATACTACTACTGTTATATCAGTAACTGCATTAATTCAAAATGTGTTTTTATGAAAATACTTTAAAGTAATTGAAGAAGATAGACTCTGTTACATGTTGCTGTTTTTGCTCCATTTTAATTGAACGCTTTTTCTGATCAAACAGCTGGGTATGGCTGCTAGTGTAATACATAAATACCAGAAGAGAATTATTTTATATCAATTCTTTCAGTTAAAAATCCTCATCTTGATCGTTTTTATCACAAAGAGTATTTCATTAATATTTTATTACTAATTTCATTATTACTAGTTGTATTCTATCTTATTATTGTTGCTTTTTATCCCAACACTCCGAGTCAAACATCCTTTTATTACTATTATTATTGATTAGTTTTATTTCATGTTAGTATTTTTGATTCTTTGCCCCAATAGTCTTGGTTATTACATTCAAGAAATAAACAATTGGTTCATTTGAATGATGTAATTGACCAAAAGAAGAGTTTTATTTTGGTCAAGGATGGCTTCATGACAGTACCAATACTTATGCTAAAAATTTAATTCTGGAAATGCTCATGGCAAGTTCTTCCATCTTGTTCATGTTCTGCACACTTGTCACCTTCAGATGTTTGCCAACTCCATGCAGGATTCTTTGTCTGGTCAGTCGTTCTATCATGTGCAAAGTAACAAGTTGTCAGAATTTGTCATTTAGAATGGGATATGCAATTTATCTGAAAGTTGTCATAAGATTATAGAAAGCCAAGAATAGGTTATTAACCATTACTGTATTAACCATTACTTGCAACATTTGACAAATAATCAGGATAAGCTTAGAAATGGATGGAACTGAGGTGATAAAAAAATCATTTGCAGGGTTAACACTTAGTTTGCTGTGACAGAAAGAAATATTTTCCTTTGACTACTGTTGCCAACATCAAAGCAAACACATGTCCAATGTGTGCAGCAGTTCTCTAAAATGACCATCCAGCTTGCCAAAAGTTTACGATTTGATTTCTCCAAGATGGCTTAATTATATAACGGCCAAATGTAAACTGTAACATTTGTGGGTGTAGAATAGAGGAGAGTAATTTTAGGTTATGGTTAAGAAAAAAAAATCACCAAATTAATAAACAGCCATACAGGCTGTTTGAAATATATCTTTGACAGGGTCAGTTGATAATGTCCCACAAGAAGGGGAAAAAACAGGATGTGCTGAGGTTTTTCATTAGTTTGTGAGTAATCAGCAACATGCAAGAAGGTTAGATGTCTTAGTAAAAAAAAAAAAAAAAAAAAATAGAGAAAACCATCATTAGATCTGATATGCCTTAGATCTCTCAGCCATTTCTATTGTCTATTTGAGAAGTCAGTGAAAAATTTATGTTTACAAGGCACTATTTAACTTTGCAATGGGTCGCATTGGCTGTCAATATCCTAAAGTCACATTGTCTCAATTTCTCAATGAAAATTAAAAGCCATCTTTTCAATGAGTAGAACGTTTGCTTGTAATAATTCATGTCACAACATGTGGAATCTGTATTGGCCAAATTTTATTTTCTCCAGCAGGGAAATGGTGCTGATCACTCATCAGTGATGGTGAGGACACAGTGAGAGAATTCTCTCTACTCCAGTTGCTTTTTTAAAGCCATCTCTTCTCTATCAAAACAAAAACCCTCACTAAAAAAAAAAATCTTGAAGAGAGAGATTTGAATTCTGCTGGAGAGCACACATTTTTCTCTAATAAGGGTTTTTGAATATTCAGGCTGAAAATAAATATACCATTTAATAAATAAACTATACTCAAATATGGGTATCTACTAAAACTAGTACTTAAGTAATAAAACTTGCCAGATTAAATAAATAAAAAAATCCACCCCTTTCTTTCTTTTTTATATACACACACACACACACACACACACACACACACATATATATATATATATGTATTGGGATCAAATACAGATAAGAATCTGACAGAATAAGATAAAGAACAGATAGGAAACATTATTTTAATCTAACATGTTTCACTTTTATTAAAGCTTCATCAGAGAAAAAAGAAGAAATTCTGGTATTTTTACTTTTGTGGTGTTGATTTTCATTGGTTTATCAGGTTCCACATGCATTCGACTTGTTAAACAAACTCGTTTCTTTATCTTATATATTGAATTGGTTGACATCATTAATGGGGAGGATGTCTTTGATAAGTAGCAAAAAACAAAAAACAAATGGGTATTTATATTGAGTAAGAAAGTGGTAAGTGTCTGTCATAAGTCAACATAGATTATACACCTACTTATAGACCCCACATTTATTGATCTCCTGGTTAGTCACATTGACTACATTTGGGTCCACTATACTTGTATATAGCTTGCTATATTTATTTCTGTGCATACTTCTCTCTTTCTATATCTATCTATCTATATATATATATAAATAAAACGAAGTAGGGCTAATAATATTTATTCAAATTTATAATATATACATGAATATAAAATGACTCTTTCATACATTTCATTAAAGACTACTGACAAGGTATTGTGATTCTTATTTAATTTTCCTTTTGTCCAGAAAAGAAAACACTTGTACAAACACAAGAAAAATTAAGTAAAAAGCTTAATTGTAGTACCTTGTCAGTCATCTTTAACAAAGCATATTGTATTGTATTGTATTTAGAAAGCAATTTTTTATTCATACAAATTTGTTTAAAGACTAATGTAATTTTTTTAACGATTACATTTGAAAAAAAGATATCATCTGATGTAATACCTAATACATACATAGACACAAAATTATCAACAGAAATCTCTTTGATAATGGCTGATGAAACCTGAAAATACTCAGACATCGGACAATTTATATTCAAATTTTCACCAGAAGCAAGGAAATATTGATAAACAAAAAAAAAAAAAATCCTGAACAAATGACTTTCATTGGTATTGAGCTAAACTATTTATCGATATAAACGCATACCTACCTGTTTTTATTGCAATTATTTTCTGTTTATGCATGCATACACACACACACACATACACACACACACACACACGTGTGTGTGTGTGTGTGTATATATATATA